AAATACATGCATTTTAGAAGGCAAATAAGACGCTTATAAACGTCTAAAATGTGACCACGTAAACGTCTTAAACCAAGACGCTCTTTTTTTACAGTGTAGATAGAGATAATATTGATTAAAATTTTATATCTGTAACAATCCATTTAACGCGGATCATTTTCGTACAATTATCGGACTAATCCGCTAATATACCTGGATTTAATCCGGATTAGTCCGAATTTTTTACCAGGGATATAATATGATTCGGGTGGCCGTCTACTATTACCGGATTCTTAGCATACATATTTCGGATTGTTTCTTTTGTTTCGGAATATGATTTTACCATACTAATTCCGAATTGAAGCGGACTAATGTCGGAATCTAATCTTTGTGTACAGATTTCGGATTATTTCGTATTTGTTTCGGATTATACCTTTTAGTTGGATAATATTCGGATTGTTGCAGACAATTTTCGTATTCTTAGCATACAGATTTCGGATTGTTTCGTACTTCTTTGGGAATAGGATTGTGCCACACTTAATTTCAAATTGTTGCGGACATAATACCGGATTTCTTGCTTACAGAGTTCGGATTGCTCCGAAAATTTTGCGGATTAAGTTTTTTAACTAGATTAAACTCGGATTGTTGCGGACTGATTCCGTATCTTTTACATATTGATTTCGGATAATTCCGTACTTATTTTAGAAGAATTCTTCACCGGTCATAAATTCAGATTGTTGCGGACTAATTACGGACTCAATTCGTAGACATTCAGGATTACTCCGGAGTGTTTTCGGATTCAGGTTTTCGTTCGGATTGATATCAGACTAGCGCGGATCATTTTCGGACTAATCCGTACTAATCTGTCCGTTTTTAATCCGGAATTAGTCCGAAATTTTTACCAGGGCTAGTCCACTTATCTGGTTTCATCTGGTTTCAAAATATGTAAAACTAGAAGACTTCCTGAGTTCATTAATCATAATATTATAATGTAAATTTTATTTTTTCAGATTTTATTATTAATCAAAAGTTGGACGTTTAGAGGGTTATTTTGTAACCTTAAATTTTGCACTTTTTTAAAAACATTTTTATTTAATAACTATTATATAAGTCATAGAGCAGAACTTACCTAAAACATAAATGATGTTTCGTTGAATCAGGAAATCATACAATTTATATAAAAATATATTAGTTTTCATTAATTAAATAAAATTAAAAAAATTTTCCACAGAAAAATATTTAAAGTCTATAACTTTTTTCTCAATGCTTCTTAAAATCTAATTTTCTCTATATAGTTAAATGTTGATATAATTTACTCAATGTTAAACTTTGAAAATTAATATTTTGAAAACGGAGCAAAACATCTACGTCAAAGTTTAACATTGAGTAAATTATATCAACATTTAACTATATAGAGAAAATTGGATTTTAAGAAGCATTGAGAAAAAAGTTATAGACTTTAAATATTTTACTGTGGAAAATTTTTTTGATTTTATTTAATTAATGAAAACTAATATATTTTTATATAAATTGTATTAAGTATTTCCTGATTCAACGAAACATCATTTATGTTTTCGGTAAGTTCTGCTATTATATGACATATAATAGTTATTGAATAATCATGTTTTTAAAAAAGTGCAAAATTTAAGGTTAGGTACAAAATGACCCTTTAAGCGTCCAACTTTTGATAAATAATAAAATTTGAAAAAATAAAATTATATTTTAACTTTATGATTAATGGACTCAGGAAGTCTTCTAGTTTTACATATTTTGAAACCAGATTTTTTAAAAATATTGCCGCAACAGCCCCCGGACGAAAGTAGGTGAACTGTCACATTTCTACTATGAAATTAATATGTTTTTAACAAAAAGTAGAATTTTTGTATGCTCCTCGACTGCTTTAACGCGACGTACAAGTCCACCATCTTGAATTTTTAAAAAAGGCCACCATGCAAATAAAAGTACCCAGTAAGAAGTAAGAAATTGAGAAGAATTGGACATTTCTAACTTTTTACAGAAAATGTTAAATTATTATCAATTTTTTTGAATTCCGTTTCGTCCAATTCCTATGTATTCCTTTTTGAGGCAAAGATTTCTTGAAAGTGAATTCCAATTAATTCCGTTTTAATATTTCTTTAATTTTTGAATTTTTGTGAATTCCAAAATACTACTGTGTGATACTCGGTAAGTTCAATTCCTGTCTATTCCGTTTTAATATTTTGTAATTTTTCAATTCCTTTGAAGTTTGCAACACTTTGAGATAACCCTGGTAAAAATTTCGGACTAAATCCGGATTAAATACGGACAGATTATTACGGATTAGTCCGAAAATTGTACGAAAAATGTCCGAAAACGATCCGCGATAGTCTGATATCAATCCGAACGAAAACCTGAATCCGAAAACACTCCGGAGTAATTTACTGAATGTCTACGAATTCAGTCCGTAATTAGTTCGCAACAATCCGAATTTATGACAGGTGAAGAATTCTTCTAAAATAAGTACGAAAATTATCCGAAATCAATGTGTAAAGAATACGGAATCAGTCCGCAACAATCCGAATTTAGTCTAGTTAGAAAAACTTAATCCGTAAAATGTTTGAAGCAATCCAAACTCTGTAAGCAAGAAATCCGATATTAGTCCGCAACAATTTGAAACTAAGTGTTGCAAAATCCTATTCCGAAACAAGTACGAAACAATCCAAAAACTGTATGCAACGAATCCGGAAATTGTCTGCAACAATTGGGATTTAATCCAGTTGAAAGACATAATCAGAAACAATCCGAAATCTGTATGCTAAGAATCCGAAAATTGGCTGAAATAATCCGTATTTAATCCAATTAAAAGGCATAATCCGAAACAAATATGAAATAATCCGAAATCTGTACGCAAACAATCCGACATTAGTCCGCTTCAATTTAAAATTAGTGTGGTAAAATCCTATTCCAAAACAAATACAAAACAATCCGAAATATGTATGATAAGAATCCGGAAATAATCGGACACCCGAATCATATTATATCCCTGGCAAAAATTTCGGACTAATCTGGATTAAATCCAGACATATTATTGTGGATTAGGACGATAATTATACGAAAAATATCCGAAAATGATCCGCATTAATCTAACGTTAATCCGAGCGAAATTATGAATTCTAAATCAGTCTGGAGTAATCGTGAATGTCTATGAATTAAGTCTGTAATTATTACGCAACAATCCGAAATTATGTCCGTTAAAAAATTCATCTCAAATAAATACGGAATAATGCGAAATCAATATGTAAAGAATACGAAATCAGTCGGCAATAATCCGAAAGTAATCCAGTTAAAAGATTTAATCCGAAACAAGTATGGAACAATCCAAAATCTGTATGCAAAGATTTTGGTATAATATTGAATTTGTATATTAAAAACAATTTGTATTAAATTCAGATAAATTTAAACTATAAATATATTTTCGTATTACATAAACCTGACCATAACCAGATTAATTCCGGATTTAAATCGGACTAATTTCACATTTGCAAGTCCTGACCATAAGCAGACTGTTTCGGATTAGCTGCGGATTCACTGGTTAAACCAATCGGATTACTTCTGCATTTACTAGTTGCATATGATCTGACTAACTGCAGACTAAACCGGACTAATTACGGATTCAATAGTTATAAAAAACGGTATTATTTTTTTAAACTTAATTCAGGGTGAAAAAATTCCACAATAAACAGTACTGTTGCGGACAAATTCCGGATTAGTCCGAAATCGGTCCCACTTTTTATTCAGGGTATTTAATAATGGTAGTTAATAAAATATTTAATTCTGCAGTCAATTTGTTTTTACAAATTTACTAGTATTATTAGATCACGACCCTGCACGTGTGCAGTATATGACTTAAGAACAAATTCCCAGTCAAGACTCATTAAATGCCAATGCGCGTGCTCATGTCTCACTCCCTAAACTCGATCTCCCCACTTTCTCCGGTGGTTACGAAGAATGGATGGGTTTTCGAGATTCGTCTGTCGCGATTGTTTATAATGAACCCCCACAGCACCGAAACTTTCCTAAAAGTTTATTAAATATTTACTTGCAATATTCGGAAGATTTAATTGCAATGTTTATTGAAAGTTGTGTAAAGATTTAAATGTCCCGAATCGGGACATTTAAATCTTTACACAATTTTTACTAAACTTTTCAGTTAAATATGCCGAATATTATTGCAAGTAAATATTTAATAAATTTTTAGGAAAATTTCGGTGCTGTGGGGGGAACCAACCATTCTAAATATTCAAAAACTAAGATATCTCAGGTTTTATGTTTCTTGGAAACGCGGCTAGAATTATTGAAAATTTACCTACATCCGAAATTAATTACAAAATAGCTTGGAAGCTTCTCGATGAACGATTCAATAACAAGAGAATTATTATTCAAACTCATATGCAGGCTTTGATTGAAATGCCAGCAGTAACGAATAAACCCCACTTATATGCCTAACAGTAACTAAATTAGATAGAGACACACGGAGGGAGTAGGAGCGTTCTGTGAGGGGGAAGTGAGATGCCAAAATTCGAACTTTTTGTAAAATTTTTACGCAAGTGTTGCCAGGTTTTGGAGGCATTGAGTACCAGATTTAGTGGTCACATGTCCAAAGACAATTTATAAAATACAAATAAATCTAGTTCTAATATTGAAAAAAATCAATCGGGAAAATCTTTTGTCAATACACAATCCATTAGTTGATAGGAGGATAATTATTTTACGAGCTGCTGTGTGATGGGAAGATTCCGCTTTCATTGCCCAGGACTTATCTCCAAAACACTCGATTGGGATGGATTGTTGCTGGGAAGGTTAACTGCGTTAGATTTAATCAGCCATGGTCCTGCAATTTGATCAGAGACCCAATCAAAGATCAATTGGAAAGGTTTTGGGAGCTGTAAGAAGTCGAGCATAAGAGGCATCTGTCACAGAAAGAGCAGAAATGCGAAATTCAATTTCAAGAGCATATTTAGCGAGACAAGGAGGGCCGTTATATGGTAGCTCTTCCTTTTAATGAGAAACAAATGGATTTGGGTTCAACATTCGAGATAGCACGACACCGATATTTTTCTCTGGAAAGGAGGCTAAAACGAGATTCGAATTTACGCGATCAGTATCATTTGTTTATGAAAAATTATGCAGAATTAGAACACATGGAGTTGATTGCTGTTTTTAACAAAAGTGGATACTACATCCCAAATCACCCTGTTTTGAAAGAATCAAGCTTGACTACTAAGCTCCGAGAAGTATATGATGGACCTACTAAACCACCCACGGGTATTTTTCTAAATGATGCTTTAATAGTGGGACCTGTAATCCAGGATGGAGTTTTTGGACTAATTCTATGATTTCGGAAGCACATTTTTGTCATGAGTGCGGACATTGAAAAAATGTTCCGACTGTTCAGGATACGACCGGAAGATCGAATTTATCAAAAAATCTTTTGTCGATCATCAACCGTTAAGAACTTATCAGCTGAACACCATAACATATGGAACTGCGTCGGCACCTTTCTTAGCAACGCGTTGCTTGAAGCAATTGGCGGAAGACGAAAGAGGGAACTTTCCAAAGGCAGGTGATGCAATACGCAATGACATCTATGTTAATGACCTATTGACGGAGCAGAGACCATTCAAGACGCCATCAAACTTAGAGACCAGATTATGGAGATCACGAAGAGATTGATCAATCTTGTTAGACAACAGATATATCAAGACGACTACCAAAACACTGTATGTGAGCTGGAATGCAGCGGAGGACAACTTGTGTTTCGAGGTGAATTTGCGCGAAAATAAGGAACGTGTAACGAAGAGAAACATACTATCGCAGATAGCCCAGTTGTATGTATCCAGCCGATTTTGCCTCTAGAGGTCAACTACCACGTGAGTTCATGGAGAACAGCATTTGGAGGAAGGGTCTAGCTTGGTTGCGAGAAGAGGAGTCAACTTGATCAAATTACCCAATTAAAACTCTAGATGTGCCTGAAAAAAGAGGACCTAACGTCAGTATTCCAACAGTTTTCCAGTCGCTGATTACGAATATGCAGTCAGATTTTCAAAATTCAAAATGGCCGATCTAATGTCTGTCGAAAGAAAAAAAAGACTGTCTGAATACATAAAGTTTCGTACAAATAAAATAGCTATCTAGACATTCTTTTTTTACACTTATTTTGTTACCATGGTGAAGAGTTAAATTAAATTGTCAATCGTCAGTTCGTTATTACTGACAATGAGTATCAGAATCATTTGCCTAATTTTTCAAAATTTCGACAGACATATTGGATCGGGGATTTAGAGTTTTGAAAATCTGACTGCAGATTCGTAATCAACGACTGGAAAACTGTTGGAATACTGAGTATCAGAATGATTTGTCTTATTTTTCATAATTTCGACCGCCATATTGGATCGGCCATTTTGAATTTTGAAAATCTGACCTCAGATTCGTAATCAGCGGCGGAAATAACCTTGGAGTATAGACTTTCATGAAAATAATTCCTTTTAATATGCATTTACAAGGATTTTTGTCGTTTGATCGTCCATATTGGATCGGCTATTTTGAATTTTGAAAGTTACAATGCAGATTCTTAACGAGTTTAGGCCTCAGTCGCCCAAAATATACCTTTAGCAACATTTCTATTTTGATGCCTCTTACTGCGTTTTGCCCCACTGTGGCGCCCTCCGCATTTCGGTGGAGTGTAGGCGGCCGCGGTGAAGCCCTTCAAGCACAATTTGCGGAGAACGGTGGGAGAAACTTTATTCAATTTTGTAGAATTAACCACATGCATGTGCGAAATTAAAGCGGTGCTTAATTCAAGACCTTTAACGCCAATGTCGTCAGATCCTAACGACCTCCAGGTTTTGACTCCGGGTCATTTTTTAATAGGCAAACCTTTGTCTGCATTGCCTTCCGATGATTTTTTGCAAATGCCTGTAAATCGCTTATCAACGTAACAGCACATGCAAAAAATAAAACTCTACTTTTGGAAGCGATGAAAAAACGAATATTTGACAGAATTAAATGTTAAGAGTAAGTGGTGTACCGGAAAAAATACGAATGTAAAGATTGGAAATTTAGTTTTGTTAAAAGAGGACACCCTACTGAAAATTCTCACATGGGATCCTACATATGATTTTACGCGGGTTCTTATACAAAAACCTGTATAAAATTCCAGATCCCACGTAAGAATCCACATGGGATCCCATGTAAAAGCACATGTATATTTGGGACACGATTTGGAGCAGGAATTCATGTGGGAATTTGAGTTTGTGTATCTACATAAAAATCCAAATGGATTCGTATGTGAGAATACATATAGGCTTCCATAAAGGATTCCATAAAGGATTTTACATAGGAATGAAAATTATATGAATTCCCAGGTGAGATCGTATGTTATTTCCCATGTAATTTTCCACATGGGATCTTACATAGGATCTCACGTGGTTTTTCTTATTAATGATACAGAATACCACGGTTCATATACTTTCACAGCCAGGTGGTGTAACGTGGCGTTACGAAGTCTCCCGCGTCTGCTGCGAATCGGGCGATTGAACCCGGAAACGGCCGAAGGGCCTCGAGGGTGTCAATCGCCAAATTCGCGGACAGACGCGACACTTGTTGTTCCGATCTCCCAAAAGCAACACTTGATTGCTGGATTAGTTGTGAGTTGTTCCGTGCTCTGATTTATGTGCCATCGAATTCCCGAGTATAAATAATCGACGACACGTAAGTGAATAAATATTGTTTTTATTAAAATACTGTGTCTCCCATTTACTCTCCTTCCTCCCCTTTTCCCTTAATTATAATTAAAGATCTGGGCCTCCAATTATAAATTGGCGCCCAACGAAAAGATCCACCTTTCATATTTCCTTTCTGTAAAGAAAATTTTCAGAATAATTCTTTCATCATCTTTGTTTGTTGAAAATTCCTAAAATAATTTCTTTTCATCATCTTCGTTTGTTGAAAATTCCCAAAGAAAATTCCCAGAAAATTCATTTTTTTCATAATTTTTTAATTGTTGAAAATTCCACCTGTCACCTCATGGTCGCCTAACCTCAAAACCGAACCTTTTCTCTCTTCCTTTTTCCCATATTTAATGAAAAATATTTCATTTGTGCTTGAAAATTATTGATTTTATTTTGTGCTATTTGTATATAATTTCTGACAATTGTGACAAATTTTTATGTGACGAACGAACGACAATGACGAAAATTATTGTGTAAATAATGTAAAAATAAAATTCACTATTGGAAAGAAAACGAAAAAACCTTTAAGGTCATGTTATTCAGTGTGACGTTTTTCCATAGTAAAGTACATGGGGCACGTGACCACTGAATAACATAACCTTAAGAAACATATTTTACAAAAATTTTCCCATTACAAGTATATTCAGAAAACATTCAAAAAGTAGCCGGTGTTCCTTGAGTTTCAATTTTTTTCAAGAAGTTGAAATTTCAACTTCGGACATTTCACGTAAAATGCCTCACATAATTATGATATTCACAAGAAAAATTGTTTATAATAAATTTATGTAACATTTAAAATTCTTTATCACATCGGAGTATTGAAGTTGACACCCTTAGCGAAATAAATCACAAGTTTACTAATTTTTAAAACTTCCTATCTCAATAAAAAAAATTCATTATATTTACACTAAATTTTTTGTTTTGTACGTGAAAAACAGTTTTTTAGTTTTTCTTTGTAAATAATAAACCTGCGTGCTGAAAATTTTTGGACATAGTCTGTTTCGGTAAAATTAACTTATATATTAAATAAGAAAAAATGAAAAATGAAAATTTAGTTTATCAACCTCAACGAAAAACGATGCCTCTAATGCAGACATAGAAAAACATACGTTGGATTGGATACGACGTGCTCGTGACGAGAATGTTCCTATCTCAGGACCTATAGTGCGTGAAAAAGCAGAAAAATTAGCTAGTGATTTAGGACATGCAGATTTAAAAGCAAGTGAGGGTTGGTTCATGAATTTTAAGAAAAGGAACGGAATTGTAAGTAAAATTATAAGTGGCGAAAGTGCATCAGTGTCAGAAGTAAATTGTGAAGAATATCGTCTTACAATTTTACCTAGCATATTAGAAGAATACTAGGAGAGTGACATTTTTAACGTTGATGAGGCTGGATTCTATTACAAATGCTTACCAGATCGAACATTGGCATTTAAAAATGATAAATGTTATGGGGGAAAAAGAAGCAAAGATAGAATTACTGTGATGGTTGGCGCTAACATGTCTGGAACGGAAAAATTGAAACTTCTGGTTATCGGTAAATTTAAGAAACCACGTTTTTTCTCAGGAGTCAAGTCTTTACCAGTCATCTACGAAAACAATAAAAAAGCATGGATGACATCTTCGATTTACGAATCTTGGCTTCACAAAATGGATAAAAATTTTATACAGAAAAGAGAAAAATTGTACTTTTTGTAGACAATTGCCCTGCTCATCCAAAAGTTTTACTTACAGAACTTAAAGCTATAAAAACTGTTCACTTGCCTGCCAATACGACCTCTAAATTACAACCAATGGATCAGGGAATCATAAAAAATTTAAAGGTAAATTATAGAAAACGAGTAGTTAAAAAAATTCTCGATTTTATAGATGAAGGAAAGAAGGATGGTGATTTTTTCATTTTTTAGTGCACATCAACTTTACAAAACTTCGAAGCCAAAAAAGAAGACGAAAGAGAAGAAGAAGAAGAAGATGAAGAAGATGATGAAGATGACACAGAACGCATAGAACCAACGACATTTAAAGAAGCTGTAGAGAGGCTAAACGTTGCACAGAAGTTCATTCAAGAACATGAAAATGTACCAAAGGAGATTTTTTATAGTCTTAACAAAATTTATGATTTTTGTTTACATGTTAGACGAGAGAAACAGACAAAAATGACTGATTTCTTACCCTCACAGCACCGGGATATTCAGGATATCCCAGAGACGTCCTGGGGATATCGATTTGTTTTCGGAAGTTTGGATATCTCTGGGATATCCTAGGGACGTCCATGGATATCCAGAGGATAATCCAGGGATATCCAAACTTCCGAAAACAAATCGATATCCCCAGGACGTCTCTGGGATATCCTGAATATCCCGGTGGTGTGAGGGATAAATTGACAAAGACGTTTCACTATTATAATCCATATTATAAAACGTTTTACGACATTTTATAAGACATTTTTCTCTAAAAATAAATTATTTTGATAAATATTTGATAACTCGAATTTTTGATATATCGAGTTTTTTTTTATTCCCTTGGTGATTCGAGTTATCGAGGTTCCACTGTATATATAATTGGGACATTCTGCGTCAACGGAAGACCCCCCCCCCCGCCTAAAAAAAGGTTTAGACTAAAAAGGTTTATTAAGGCTTAAAATTTAGCTCATTATGTATGCTTTCAAATGCATAGTGGTACTTTTAAAAATTCAAAATGGCGGACCAAATATGGCATTTAATTGAAAACTAAAAGATAAAAAAGTAATGTAAAACACTTGAAAATTGCTAATCGGGGGTTTTTCGGGTCGCTGATTACAAACATGACATCAGAAATTAAAAATTCAAAATGGCGGATCCAATATGGCAGTCAATTTAGAATAAAAGTTCAAATTTAATTAAAATACTCACGAAAGATGCTATTCGCAGGTTTCTGGTGTCGCTGATTGCAAATTTGACACTAGAAATTTAAAATTCAAAAAGGCGGATCCAATATGGCAGTCAATTTAGAAGAAAAGTTCAAATTTAATTAAAATACTCGCAGAAAATTGCTAATCGTGGGGTTTTTCTGTCGCTGATTACAAATTTCACATCAGAAATTAAAAAGTCAAAATGGCGGATTCAATATTGCAGCACAGAGAAAAACTAAACTCAAAATGAGTCGTAAAAGTGACTCATTATGAGCTGCAACAAAAATGAACCTCGCAGATGGCGCCACGTTCTATGTCATTTAACATAGACTCATTTTGAGTTGCAACAAAAATGAGTCCGATTTTTTTCTGTGAGTCAATTTAGAAGAAAAGTTCAAATTCAATTAAAATACTCTGGATAATTGGTAATTGAGGTTTTTGGTGTCGCTAATATTACAAATTTGACAACAGAAATTTAAAATTCAAAATGGCGGATCCAATGTGGCAGTCAATTTAATAGAAAAATTCCAAAATTTAATTAAATATTAGTGAAATGTGTGGTATGAGGGTTTTTAGTGTAGCTGATTACAAATTTAACATCAGAAATATTGAATCCGACATTTTAAATTTTAAATTTCTGATGTGAAATTTGTAATCAGTGACAGAAAAAACCCACGATTAGCAATTTTCTGCGAGTATTATAATTAAATTTAAACTTTTCTTCTAAATTGACTGCCATATTGGATCCGCCTTTTTGAATTTTAAATTTCTAGTGTCTTTGTAATCAGCGACCATAAAAACCCCCGATTAGCAATTTTCTGCGAGTATTTTAATTAAATTTGAACTTTTCTTCAACATTGACTGCCATATTGGATCCGCCATTTTTAATTTTCAATTTCTGATGTCAAATTTGTAATCAGCGACCCGAAAAATCCCAGATTAGCAATTTTCAAGTGTTTTACATTAGTCAATTAATCGAATCCCATTGTCAATGTAATTTTCGGTGAAAATGTATTGAAAATGAATTATTTGACATTGAAAAATTTATTTTTAAAATATTCAAAAAATTTGAAATAAAGAAGAGATTTTAAAATTTGTGCTTTAAAGAAAAAATTGATTTTCAATCAATTGCAATTGAGCAAGGAGGAGAAGGGTAATGATGATGATTATGTTAACAAGCCGTCGCGTCGACGTCGATTGTTGCCCGATAAGAAGCGAGGAATTGAAAAGGATTGAAATAATTCAAACTCTGTATGGTGTAGTAGAAATTATCCAATACTTTTGAATGCCATTTCTGTCCAATACTTTTCTATACCATGATAGGACCACGTTTCGTCTAAAAATGAATGCTCTTCAGTTCTGTTTGTAATTGTTAACAAAGACAACGCCCACAGCACCGAAACTTTCCTAAAAATTTATTAAATATTTACTTGCAATATTCGGAATATTTAATTGCAATGTTTATTGAAAGTTGTGTACAGATTTAAATGTCCTGATTAAATAAATGTTTAGCGCGAAGCTTTCCTGAATATTTCAATAAAATCTTCGCATAATTATAATTATAATTATGCGAAGGTGTAATTTCATGTTCAGGAAATGTTCAGGAAAGCTTCGCGCTAAACATTTATTTAATCGGGACATTTAAATCTTTACACAATTCTCACTAAACTTTTCAGTTAAATATGACGAATATTGGAAGTAAATATTTAATAAATTTTTAGGAAAGTTTCGGTGCTGTGGGGAAAAATTTTTTTCTGAATGCTTTCCAATCCCATCAGAAGTTATTACAGCCTGTCATTACATCACTTTTCAATTTTTCATTGGAACCGTGTTTCTGCATGCATTCAAGCAATCTTCTGGATTTTTGTAATTTATAAGATACATACATTGGAAGATTTTGTAAAAAGTGTTTGTGTTCAAAGAAAAACTTGCTGAAAAATTGATTGTTTACCAATTTTACGTCATTTAAACGAGTCAGGCCGTTATTCTGTTAGACAATAAATCACAACCTAAAAATTTCAGAGACCTTTAAACACTTTTAACCCTCTTAACTGATAATTTAATAATTATTCCTTTTTAAAATAGCAAATAAAGACATGAGTGCAGTTATTTGAAAGTAATTGAACATTCTATGCAATGTCAACAATATTAGTATTATATTATTATACTATATTTGTATGAGCATTTGAAAGGATTGAAACCCAATGAGAAAAAAACCATTGGCGCATTAATGGCCCAATAATGGGAGCCACCATTCCATTATTGTCCCATTATTGGCACCCAATAATGGACCACTAATGGTAAAATCGTGGGATGTCCACGCCGATGCCAATAATTGGCAAACCATTATTGGCACATTATTGGCTGCCATTAAAAAACCAATAAAAAAAAATTTTTTTTATTAAATTTTATTAAATAATAAATTTATTTATTTAATAATTATTTTATTTATTATTATTATTATTATTTATTATTATTAAAAATATTAATTTTTTAATTAATTATTTTATAGAAATGGTTATTATTTTCTATCACATCGAAATGTGAATAACCCTTTCGTTCAGAGTCTAAAAATTATTTACCTCAATCCATCAGTGCAAAAATAGGAGAGGACGGGCAGAATAAAATTCTATAAATATTCGTGAGAATGCTGCCTCCTTATATACTTTTCAAGTTTCATGTTAGTTCTGAGAGAGTTTTAAGCAACACCTCTTATGGGGCGTTGAGCGAACTACATACTTACTACATGATAATTTCTGCAGCGTCGGTAAGTAATTGTATGTAGTTCGCTCAACGCTCCGTAGGAGGTGTTGTTTCAAACTCTCTCGCAACTAACATGAAACTTGAAAAGTATATAGAGGCAGCATTCTCACGAATATTTGCGGAATTTTATTCTGCCCGTCCTCTCCTATTTTTGCACTGATAGATGTGAGGTAAATAATTTTTAGACTCTGAACGAAAGGGTATTATTCACATTTCGATGTGATAGAAAATAATAACCATTTCTATAAAATAATTAATTAAAAAAATTATTATTTTTAATAATAATAAATAATAATAATAATAATAAATAAAATAATTATTAAATAAATAAATTTATTATTTAATAAAATTTAATAAAAAAATTTTTTTTATTATTGGTTTTTTAATAGCAGCCAATAATGTGCCAATAATGGTTGCCAATTATTGGCATCGGCGTGGACATCCCACGATTTTACCATTAGTGGTCCATTATTGGGTGCCAATAATAAACCTAAAGAAAACCAATGGCTTCCAATATTGGGCCATTAATGCACCAATGGTAGAGTAATGGCTATTTCCCATTGGAAATTGTAAACTTTTCAACTACTGTCGCGGAATTCAGAAGCATAGGACAGAAATGGTATTCAAAAGGATAGAATTTTTTTAATGTTCTTAATCTTTGCTTTCTTACTGGGTGTTGACATTAATGACGTTATGCTGATGATGATTCTAGTAATGTTGGTTCTAATGTTGTCAATGTTGCTCCAATTATTAGAATTGTTAGGGCTCTGCACAGAAGAGAGAAGAAAATGTTCATTTACCAATTTATCTAAACTATTGTTCAACGTTTACATGTAACCCAAATATCATCGTCAATTATTATTCTTTTTTAGGGTTCCGTTCACCTACGGTGTATCGGCGGAACCCTATTGGTGAGACTCTTGTGTCCGTAGCCAAATCGTATCCCCCCCTAGCGGCTAAACTATTTGACCTAAAGAGCTAAAATTTGGTCCAGATATGTATTTTCACTCGTAGATTACAGGAAAAATATAGCGAATGTGATTGGACGTGATGGACATAGCGTTGTCAAGGAAATAACAAGATTTTTGGCCAAAAAATGCATAAAATTTAAAAAAAAAATAAAATAAAATAAAATTAAAAAATAAAAAAAAAATAAAATAAAAAAAATAAATTTTTTTTTTTTTTTTTTTTAATTTTTAAAATAATAAATTTTTGCATAAAATTTTTAAATGCATAAAAATTGACCATTCCCTTCCCCTTAACTTCTAAACTATTCGACATGGAGAGCTGAAATTTTGCATGCTGGTGTATTTTTACTCGAATATTACAGGAAAAATATAGAGAACTTGATATGTAATGATGGCCATAGCGTTGTCAAGGAAAAACTAAAAAATTTAAAAAAAAAATTTGTTTTCCCTAACTTTTACATTATTTGACCTAATGAGCTGGAAATTGGTATCCTGGTGTATTATTACAGTCTGACGACAAAAAATTTATTTAAAAAACTTTAAAAAAAAATTTTTTTTTTCAAAAAAAAAATTTTTTTTAAATTTTTTTTAGTTTAAACACGTGGCATTAAATATTTTAAGGAAGAGTGAAATTTTAAGAGAATAAATGAGAGATTGTTTTCTGACTTTAATTTCTTAACTAAAAATAAAAAAAAATTGGACAAGTGCGAGTTGTACTCGCACTGCAATGGCGGGTTCCGTACACAAATATTAAAACAATACTTGCAACATTTATCGGTAATTAGTAGAATTAAAATAGAATTAAAATAAACAATTAAAAAAATATATTAAAATCATTTGATAAGAAGAAATAACTTAAAAAAAATTAAAGTACCTATTGTATATCTAATATTGTAAACAATAATAAGCAGAGGAACAAAATTTTCAAAATTATAGTTCCTCTGCTTATTATTATTAAATAATAATGCTTCTCTGCTTATTAGATATATACAATACTTTAATTTTTTAGTTATTCTTTTTTATCAAATGATTTTAATATATTTTTTTAATTGTTTATTTTAATTCTACCAATTACCGATAAATGTTGCAAGTATTGTTTTAATATTTGTGTACGGAACCCGCCATTGCAGTGCGAGTACAACTCGCACTTGTTCAATTTTTTATTAACTTGTTTAAGTTCCCTTTGTTGTGTATAATAATTTTTCATTTCTTCTTGTTTTCACCTGATTAATTGCTTCATTACATTTGAAGATGTTGCAAAATTTATTTGTAATACTTTGATATTCTTGTTTTAATTTGTCATCGAATAATGTTTTTTTGAATTTTCTTCAATTTGAAACATTATATCAATTAATTGAGGATTTAATTGCTGATTAAAACAGTATATTTAATTTCGAAGTGTCGAAATTTGTTGTGGAGGCGACAGTCTGGAAGAAAAGTAAATCCCTAAGAATACAATACACTAAATCCCATTAGTGTAAACAACAAGGCTATAATATTCAACCATTGAGGACACCGATAACGGCTCCTTTGTGTCTATTCCACATAACCACTTCAGATCGGAAATCGAGGTAACCATAACCAGTTTCAACACCTTCAATAATCGTTATTCTTAAAATAAGATTCTTAATTTTTAAATATATATGTACTCATTGTATTATTGTCAACCCTTTTCTTTCTTGGTTTGCTTTTAAAGAAAATATTCTCTCACAACATTTAGTAGGTTCATTGACTTCTCCTCATCTCAAATTAGATTTAATTCTGAAACTGTATTTAAAAAATAGGTCAAAATTCGCCTATATTTTGACGTACCATAACCAGGGGCAATAAAACATTAGAAGGGCAACCTTTGCAGTGACAGTAATTTTTTATGCATGTACCGTCAAAGAGCGTATATCACCTTATTTCTATGTGTCATCACTTAGAAATAAGCTGCTTGCACCGTGTTTATGGTGAAACCTTTTTTTCTAGTATCCCAGTAAACGGAAACTAATGAAATGAATTAAAATTAATTCACAAAGAGCTTCAGTGCATCCCGCTTTGCGACAAATACGAATTTGAGCCATGTTGAAATTTTTCTGAATTCGTCAAACTGTATTGAACTTCCGAATTTTCTATTCGTACCAACTCGTTAGACAAGTTTTGGGGACTTTAATTTTCTTCAATTCGTCAACACGAATTCAATGCATGCCTTAATCATTTCTTTCGAATGCGAATTCGTTTGCACAAATTGGTGCAAATTAAATCAAATTGAATTGAATATGCAAAGAGCTTAAGTGAATCCCGCTTTCTTTCTTGCATTGCTATCAAAACAATATAAAGCTGGACGTTTGATATAGAAAATAAGTGCGAACAATCGCATTTATGAGTCACTAGTCACTGAAATGGTTGTAGTCGGGAAAAGGTTATGTAAATTAAGTTAAGTGGAAATTGTAAATATTCTGTATACAAAGTAGAAAATGAAATATGAATTTAATTTTTATGAGCTAAGAAATTCAATGAAGTTAGAATAAATATTCTCAAAGCACAACCAAAGTAGCTGTAAGGAAAATAATTCGTTACTATATGATAGTTAAAATAAAATTTAAACCCTTAGGGAAATTAAAAAACTCCAGATGCGTGACCTAATCTAAAACCTAAGCTATAAGTAAGACTCCGATTATAAAACCAATTTGTATTTGACCTGTTTATATGAAGCCGAAGTTTTAAAAACAATAAATGCTTAAAAAATAAGATGACTTAGTTTTCTTATTTATAATTGAACATCAATTTTTATTTTAATCATACACTTATGCATACATAAGTTTCATTTTAATACAATGTTTTATTTTAAAAACTAATTGTAAGAGGAATATTTTTTTTTAATATAAGGAGTCTAACACTTCAGCAAATAATGTCTATTATTTAGAATATATTAAACTCTATTAAAAAGCTTTTAATTTTAATTTCACTGCTATTGATTATTAATAAAAAAATAAAACATTTCTTAATTACCTATTATATTATTGTTGTAAAAAATATTAATATACGTATAGTATATTAAGTAGCATGATTGTGCTACAGCGAATGCGGCGGTGCGCTTTTTTATTTCGGCTAAGGGATGCGTTGCGCTTCGATTATGGGTGGTTCATAGAGGGTGGCGGGGGGTTGGAGCGTGCAGAAACATGTTCGATCGACCCGCGAAACTTTAGCCCATTCTATCACTGCGACAGAGTCGGCAGTCACACGGCAGACCTGTAAGGAATCAGATGTTTATTTCTGATGTTACCAGCTCACAAAAACACGCATTTCATATTGCCGGTTTATTGAACATTTTTTTTGTTAAAAAAATTATTGACAATTGTAAAAATACAATATTTTTTTGAAAGTTGTTTAATTTTTTTGGAGTAAAATAGTTTCTTTAGTTTTCTCTTTCAGTCTCGTGACACAATGCTGAAAAGAATCACGTGTAGAATTATGTGATAAAGGCAAAGGAATGCTGTTCAAAGGTACTTTTAAATCTATCCCTATAGTTAACAAAAGTTGACTCAGATATTTCATCATTTTTTAGACAATAAATTTGTCACTCTTTTCTGCATTTTGTTTTTTCAAAAATTATGAATGAATTGTTTAAGTAAATAATGTTCTTTTTGTATTAGAAAATATTATATGACAATTAAAAATTTCTTTATTTAATTTTAATTTTTCACAAAAATGTTCTGAATATTTTCAGTTATTCTCTTAATCTAAATCAGTGATAAATATAGCTCTGATTTATCAGTAACTCACACTGGATATTCAATCAGTAAAAATTGACTGATGAATAAGTATAGTTCTTTTATAAATTAATTACCTAATCAAATTGTTTGATAAATCATGTCTTATAGTATTATATTTTCTTTAAAAAACTTCATAGTTTATTATAGAACAGTTGAGTATTAATAAGTACAAGTCACAAATTGGTAAAATTTTATAGCATATTGAAAGAGAGAGCGGGGTGTAATAGTTTACTTATTACCGTATTATTTATAATTAAGTCATTATCATTACATTAAATAACATTTTATCCTAGTGAAAACTTGCTCTAATAAGTCAGATTTCAATAAAGAAAATTATTATAAATCGCCATGTTTTTTAAAAACATTTTGAGAGATTGTAAGTGCAGAAATACGCTTCGAGCGTAGGTGTTTGGCGATTATTAAGTTACTTTTTATCAAAATTCCAAGTATAAATAAAAAAAAGAATTCAGTTGTTTTTAAAAAAATGAGCCAACGAAATGAAAATTAAAAATTTACTATGAAGTTTCCAAAAAAGTTCTGCCTGTAAAGTAAAAAGTCTGTAAAAAAGTAAAAAAATCCATATATATCGTATATATGGATCTGAAATTCGTTTTTGGTTGATTGTCGGTTCCATGACTACGAGAAATACTACCTAAAAGTAAATGACAGTTATATAGACTTTTTTATGCTGCACCACACCACGGCGCAGAGTTATTCTATGACGTTTAGTGCAAAAAAAATAAATGAAGAACAATAAAACGAATTAGAAATTAATAGATTTATTTTAGTATACTAATTTTAATTAAAATTATTTTGATTTATAAATTTTAAATAAATTAAAATGATTGGTATTACAGCTCAGTCTCTTCCGGCTTTCTCGATTTCCTTCTTTAAAAAAGTTTTGAAGGGAATTTTACAATTTTTAATATGCTAATAACTTTGGCTAACATGACAGAATAATTGTTTAAAATATGTATACGTCTTAAAAAGCTACACAAAATTAAAGAGAAAAGGATATCAATCAGAATATTTTTCTTTAAATATTGTCAAAACACATTTCTTTAAAAAGTTTAAAACGCGAAAAAATACCCAGCAAATACTTTCTATAACTAGTTTTATAAAACATCTGTTACAAGATACAGTTATATAGATCTTTTATATAACCTCATTTTAACAGATTCTAGTTACAACTGACAGAACAGTTTTTTATTATGTTCATATCACAGATCTATAACAATGTTACATAACAATGTAACATTGTTATAGATCTGTGATATGAACATAATAAAAAACTGTTCTGTCAGTTGTAACTAGAATCTGTTAAAATGTATATAATATCAAAGTCACATATTATCTGTAATAATTATCATTCCAATCTTTTTCTATATAATTGTGTTTCAACAATATGTTATTTCTAAAATTGTGTCGAAACAATGTTATATAGATGTCCTAATACTCTATTGTATTTTACTTTTGAAAGAAACGTTTAATTAATTAACATTCCAAATTTTTCCCCAAGATTCAAAAAATATAATTACTCAAAAATATAAATCATTTAATGGTATATATTAATTAATGTTATGATAATTTAGTTTTAAAATTTAATTTCATTTATTGAAGTAAATCCAACAGCTATATACGTAGACTAATTACAAGATTATCAATTAACAAATAATATAAAAATATAGAAAGGTACAGTGTATCAATAATTACGTTATTGATTAATATATAATTAATTATACTATATTATATAATAGGGTAAGTCCGGGGGAGATGGCCATAGTTTTTTAAAGTACTGTAAAAATGATAAAAAAGCGATTTATGTCTAAACTTTTATTGATAATTAAACATTGAGCGAAAAATAAAATATTTTCATAGGAACAATTTCAAAATTTACCTTTTGTAAAAAGTGCATTTGGCCATCTCTCCCGGAATGTTGGGGAGAGATGGCGAATACTTATAATTTTTTAGTTTTAGCTTAAACTTAATTTTTAATCGTTCAAATTACTTTTCTCTTATTCTGGTCACATTTTAAAAATTTATTATGGGATTCAGTTCAATTTTCATGTAGTCAAAAATTTCAAATATTGCACTGAATCCAATCTTTAATCAATGTCGTTTGATTGTAATTTTCGGCTCTACCTACAAATATATCTCCATCTCTGTTGTCAATTAGATCAATTATTTTGTTCTCAGACATTTTTAATTTGTTTTTCCTTAATATTTCTTAAGTATCTAACATTAACATAAAAAATTTTAAATAAAAGTAATTAATAACCATCTCACTCAATAATACATGACAAAAGTGAACATCAAAATATTAAATAAATAAAATAATTTTTCCCTTAATTTTTTGTATATATCGAAGCGTGGGCACTACTCAATAAAACTTTAAATTAAAAAATCCGTTAAAATATAACAATGTAGCAATAAGAAATCTGAAATTCTCAAATTATTTTAGACATATGCAAAAAAAAATGTATAAGAATTACGCTTACATTTTCATTATTTTTCAACAATTTGTTGTTTACATTTATTAGTAGTCACAAAAGGTTGAAGAATAACCCATAATAAGTGATATTTATTTACAAATTCTGTAAAATATTTGAACTGGCCATCTCTCCCATACGGCCATCTCCCCCAGACTTACCCTAATTAAGTATTATTTTCTAATAAATTACAATTTTTTATTATACTACCTACAGTAAAATAACCAGAGATGTTAAAAATGGGTCTCAAAACCTATTTGAAATGCTAAATACTAAATGGTTTCTTAAAAAGTTTTCTTTAAATGAACTTTATTTTTATACATAACTACATATTTGACTTTTTTTTATTTTTTTTTTATTTTATAAAATAAGATTGAAGTTTAAATCATAATATAATTACAAAACACTTTAATTTTGAAAGCCTTTAAGGGGGAGTGACACCTTTGACCCAAAAAAAATTTTATTTTGTTTTTTTTGCTTAAACCATACTTTATGATGTGTAGAATAGAAATTATATCATGAGAAGTAATTTCCTAGTTTTTTTTTGTGAAAAAATCGAAATCTGTAAAAGGTGTCCAAGAGCGCTTCGAGTTCTTTTTAGCACCATCGGATATTTTTTCCTTTATCGTAGCAGCTTAAGAATACTGAAAACAGCTTCAAATTGCTCTATTAAAGGATGGAAATGAAGGAAATAATAATGAAGAAAGTCACTTATATGGTACAAGCATAGTAGATTAACAGTGGTTTCATTTTTCATGTTTTTACATTACAAAAGTTTAAATGCGTTTTTCTATCTATCACAGATTCAGAAAAACTTTGAATTTTTGTTTTACATTAAACGATACACCCTGATGCTTTAATGCCTTCTTTCCGGTTTTGACGGTGTTTTAAAAAGTCGTGGCATAAGGTAAAGGTCCCAGTTATGAAACGCTTTCATAATTTTGTCCCTATTATGGAACAGTATTACAAAAATTAAAATAAATGCAATTCAAATTGGCTATAAGAAAATTCTAGTTATTTCAATAAATTTTACACGATATAAGAATTATTATTTCTGTATACTATTTAATTTAAAAAAAAATGTTTAATTACATTTTAGCTTTTAAATTAAGGTTAGCCAGGTTTTCGTCAAACTACCCGGTAAAAAGCGAGGAATTGAAAAGAATTCAAAAGTTAATTTCTTTTGAATGGGCGAATTTCCAAAATAATCCAATTCCTCGGTGGAGCAAGGAAAAGTAGCAAAATCTATTATTCTTAATTGACTTCACCAAAATATAAAACGCGCATTCAAAAGAGTGAGAGAGTACAACAAATCAGTAGAAATTTCTATTCCACTGAATTGCTTTACTATCACTCAATATTTCTCAGCAGGGTGTCTAGCGTCCGGGAAAAACGGGAAAACCGGGAATTTGCCGGGAATTTAGTTCGACCGGGAAAAACCCGGGAAATTGCCGGGTATTAAAAAAAATATCCGGGAATTTTTGGAAATTTTCTCTAATTCATTAAAATATATTAAAAAAATTTCAATTTAAGGTCATAGAGTTATTAGAATAGAGTGCGCAAGCGACCAAAATGTTTCTTAGGCGCATAGACGGAGACAGCCATACGAAAAGAAGACCCCTTTCCTTTCTTTCTCTAATAACGCATGCGCGATAGTGAAACAGCTGATGCATCGAAACAACTGTTGCTTGCTTGCAATTATATTTTTCTTTTATTTACATGACAAATAAATAATTTAAAATAAATTTAAAATTAAAATAAAACATTTATGATATTTAAAACAATTTTTCATGCGATCTTTTTAGACAAAAACCTAACCAAAAACTTTCATTCTTGCACATGCGCCAATAAACAAGGTAAGAAAAGGGGTCTACTTTCATGCTTTTGTCTCTTTCTATGCGCCTAAGAATGCCTCTCACGGTAAAAGGTATAACTCGCGCACTCTATTTTAATAACTCTATGTTTAAGGTAGTTCTCCGGTTGTTACTCTTTTAAAAATTGATTTTCGATAGATTTTCTTCAAATTTTGAGGAAATATTTCTTCGGATGCCTTTTCAATGTGATAGAAACTTCAAAACCTTTTGCCATGTCAAAAAACGAGATATTATGGTTGACATTTTTTATTTTTAACATAAACGCATGGAAAAGTGAAAGTTTGAACTTGAATAAGTCAAAATTTAGCATCGCCCCAGGTGCGATTTTTTGGTCGGCCCATAGTTGGGCCAACTTTTACAAAGTCGG